ACTTTCTTCTTTTCTTCTTCAAGTTCCACTCCTATCGGAGATATCAATTATAATTTTCGATAATGATATCGAAATCATTCTGGCAATTATAATTTTATTGGTTACTCGCCTGAATAGTTCAATTGAACTGCATCCAAACCATTCACGGAGATTGCGTAGCCACGAGATTTTACGTCTTCCTACGCTTCTTCTACCTTTGATTTTACCCTGCTTTATATTCCTTAGTAGTTCGTACTTTTCACCTCTCATGATATGCCCCAAGTATTTCAATTACCTGATTTTTATGGAATTTAAAACTTCGCATTGTTTTTATAGTTGTTCGAGAACTTGTTTGTTTGTTTTGCGATCCATCCATGATGTTTTCAAAATACGTCGGTAACACCACATTTTGAATGCTTCTAGGTTTTTAATGTTGGATTTTTTAAGTGTCCAAGCTTCAACTCCATACAAAAGGGTAGAGAAAATATACCATCGAAGCATTCTTATCCGGAGAGATATATTGATATCGCGATTACAAAAATGTTTTCTCATTCTATTAAAAGTTGACCGCGCAATTTCAATGCGGCATCTTATTTCTTTTGTCTGATCAGTATCTTCTGTGATCCATGCTCCAAGGTATTTGTATGAAGATATTTGTTCAATTTCGGTATTATCTAGTACTAGCTTAACTTTGATGTTTTGTGCTTTTGTAAATACCATGAACTTGGTTTTCTTCAAATTGATTTTTAGTCCATAATCGTTGCAATATATATTTAGTTGTTCAGCAAGGTGTTGCAGTTCTTCTAGTGTTCCTGCCAGAAGGACGGTGTCGTCAGCATATCTTATGTTATTAAGTGGCTTGCTGTTTATTATAAGGCCCTCACTGATCTCGGTAGGCACTAATTCTGAGATGGCTTCACTGTATAAATTGAATAACAAGGGTGATAAAATACACCCTTGGTGGACCCCACGGCGAATCTGGGTATCCTTGGTCAGGTCGTTTTCAACTTTCACTTTTGCTGTTTGATTCCAATAGAGGTTACAGATGATTCTAATGTCTCTACTGTCTATGTTTTTATTTAATAAAATGTCTTTAAGTCGATTATGCTGCACTCTGTCAAATGCCTTCTCAAAATCAATGAAACAGGCATATACTTCCTGATTAATGCTACTAATTTGCTACTTTAATTTTTTTTTATTTCTTTATGTATTTCATTGTATTTTTCTCTGTTTATCGATTTGCACTACCTTCGAATGTTCATTAGATCTAAGAGGTCTTAAGATTTTCTCGAGATTCCGTGGTTATTGTTGTTTTCATTTGTTTCCAACAATTATCTATGTTGTTGTTATCTTCTTATCTAATTTCGTAAAATTTGTTAATTTCTTGAGACACATTATTTAGGATACATGGGTCTTGGAGTGCATCTAGTGATATTTTGGAGCTTTTTCTGAATTGCACAGACTTTCTTCAGCCCAACTGTGATTGTAGTAGAGTATATTGTGACCAAATATCAGGGACCTAGGTAAGTCTTGATCGATTTATTATAGTTTTGAAATCGTTAAATGATTGTTGTATAATCAATTTGATTTCTTACAATATTGTCTTCTCGATCTCTTGGAGACTTACAAGTATATGTCTATGGTTTGGTAAGAACGATGTATTCATAAGTCCAAATTTTTCCTCTTTGCAAAACTGTACAAATAGTTCTCCTCTTTTATTTCGTTGTTATAGACCGAACTTTCCAGCATTATTAAAAGTAAATGATCCCTTTTTTCGCAATAAAATTTCCTATGATTATAGGAAGTTCGTGTTTTTTCGTCATAGCTAATAGATATATGTCGTAAAAAATATTTTAATTGCGGTATTTTCTTTATCTGCAGTTGTTTCTTATACTTGTATTATATTTATATTCACTGGGAATGTAGTTGATTAAATTGGCATCACTCGATCTCATAATGAGAGAAATTTTGTTTACAGACGTGAACAGACTTTACAAGCAATTTCTGTATAACCACTACGCTGTTCTGATGTAACTCATCGTTTGTCCCAGAGTAAATTTTTTGATTTTGGCCACCTTGTTTCACAGAATCCTAATACAGAGGTATCGAATCTGCCTATTTCAAGTAAGAGGTTTCTAACCTACCCTGCACTTTCTTATAAACTGTTATAATTTGAAAGTGACATTAGAATCTTACGTCCAATATTTAAATGTACCCGTTTATCTATATTTGATTATTGGTTTATTACAAATGGCGTCTTTGTTTATTGAAAAAAAAAACTAATTACCTTTGTAAAGAAATAGATATAAAATACTGTAATTTACAATGCTTTGTTAACATTTTATGTCCTTTCAGGAATGCGAAATGTTGATGATCTTCTCTCGGTTGCTGTCTATACTAGAGATCGCATAAATCCACACCTTTTTAACTATGCTCTCTCTGTTGCATTGTTGCATAGATCTGATACCCAAAATGTGGATTTACCATCATTTATCATCTCATTTCCTGATAAGTATGTCGACAGTAAGGTGTTTGCCAAAGCTCGAGAAGAAGCTACCATTGTACCTGATGGATCAAGGGTAAGCGTAATTTATTGTATTTATGTAACCACAGACACTCGAACAAAAAGTTAGTTTTTAACCTGTAATGTGTGATCTGTGGGTAAGATGTGTAGAAAATTTTTTTTTACACATACTCTGCAGTAAAATGCATTGTTTATTTTGTTATTATTATAAAAATTACAATCCAATACACTGCAACATAATTCAATATAATAATACAATACAAATTAAAATGCAATCTTCATAAGTATTTAAAACTGGCAATATACATAACTTACTTTACGAAGATAAAAATAAAAAATCAACAACTCGGTTTATCTTGTCAACTTTCATTTAATTTTAAAATTTAGCATTCTTGCGTATATTACATATATTTAATAAGATTAACGTGAGGTTTTTAAATATTTCAAAAATAAAAAAAGAAATTCATATTTTGATTCGAACTAACATACACCAGCGTATGAACCAAAGACATAAAAGATTTGCCAATTAGACATGACATTAACGGATTTCAAAATTGACAGTTCTCGGTAATACAGTGATTATTTTGAAATACAAAAGCCTAAAATAATTATGAACATTTAATAAATAATACAAAACATATCACATAAATAATAATATTAATATATATTATGTATAAATATATATATATATATATATATATATATATATATATATATATATATATATATATTATATAATATAAATATATATATACAAAAGGAACATTTTTATCCTCGAGAGAGAAAGAGAGAGAATATTATCTTCTGTCTCTCTCTTACTCATATCTTACATATGTAATGGTTTCACAGATTTACTCCCGTACAAATTTCCAACGTCGAGCGCGCGTATAGAAGTATAACTTCAAAAATTCTTTTATAATTTTATTTTTATAACTATCTAAATATGGTACTATGATAAGCTGTATCTAACCGTTTGTGTAATATTTTTTTACCTTACTGATTAAGGGTTTAATCCTTTCAGACCCCAATCGAAATTCCAAGAGATTTTACTGCTTCAAATTTAGAACCAGAACATCGTTTAGCCTATTTTAGAGAAGACCTAGGTATTAATGTACATCATTGGCATTGGCATTTGGTCTATCCACATGAAGCTGCTTTTCAAGTTGTAAACAAAAACAGAAGAGGAGAACTGTTTTATTATATGCACCAACAGATTGTAGCAAGGTGAGTTTTGGTTAAGCGAAATTTACTGCATAGTCGTGAATGTTAGGGACTAGGGTGTTATAGTCACAATCCGTGTTAAGTTAGATATTTATTAAGAGAGAGATTTGGCGACCGGTTTCGCAGGTATTCAAGGAACAAAAGAATATCAGTTTCTTGAAGGCCTCAAGATGTATATAGCTATATGTGTATATATAATGTTGTATAACTTGTAAACACCGCAACCAGTCGCCCAATTTTTTGTTTAATAAAAATCTAAAACCTAATACGGATTGTGAGTATAAGACCCTACTCCCTAACATTTATAAATTTGTGCTCACATCAGCAAACTTTTGATTATTTACTGCATTATTTTTTTTGGGGATTCGTTTTAATTTTTATATTTGTATAAGGTTCAGAAGTAACACTTATTTTTATGCGGTTTAAAAAAAATACTAAAAAAAATAACTGATTGATTTAGTTGAACACTATAATATAGAATATGTAGACACTTTGTATAATGTCTAAAAGATAATTTTATTCCTAAGCAATATTAGCAGCAAACTTGTGTACAGTTAAGCCAATCCCAATAAATATAATAATTGTATTATTCTTTGTTAGATATTTAACATGGGTACGATTTAAAATTTTAAACACTGCACCGCTTTAAATGGTTTAGGGCCGGTTCTACAATACTAGTATATACTGAGATTAAAGTTATACTTGGAATAACTTCATTAAGGGTGTTCTACAAACAAAGAATAAACTAGGAATAAGATAATCGGAGTATATCCATGATACTATGACTATAAGATAAGATATTGCGCATGTTTTTGTGACGTCATTGGAGACTTGTTCATATTCGAAATGTCAGTTTTTGTATATATCAATAAATAATCTTTAATAAATAGTTTGGAGATATCCTTATGTGTACGATCATTGTAATTATTAAACCTCTTTACTTATTTTCGTCTAGTAATTTCATCACAGAATGCATACAAATCTCATTTAACTTTAACAAGAATTCAAATTCTAGTCTCCAATGATGGCATGCGCGAACCCGACCGATTTTGAGCTACGGGAAGATCCTATCTTGTTATTCATAGTATCATGAGTATATCTATAGAATAACTTTATCCCTCCAAAGTTGAGCAGATATACCGAGTATAAATTTATACTGCATTTCTATTGGTCGGCAAGGGGTTGTCAAATCTGTGATATTTTAACCTCACTTTATACCATTCGATCTTTGAACTGTGGTTTTTATCATGAGCTGGCCACGTACCTAAGAGGTGGAGGCCATAAAACGAAAGAAGAAGAAGAGCCGTGGTTTTGTTTGTTTTTATATATAAAATAAAATTTTTGATATGGATCCAGTTAATATTAATATTTTTGAATCTGATGATGAAGATTTTGAAGAAGGAATATCTAGGCTAAGGCATCCAAAAACTTTTAGAATTCGGTATGAATTAGATATATATTTATGTAGCATTTGAATTCAATTTCTGTACTTGTATGTAAATGTATCTTTTTTTATCCATTTTATAATCATTTTGCAAAGTATAATAATATAAAGGTAGATAAAATACTAGATAAAGATAAAGTAGATAAAATACTTTCAATTGTAAACAAATTTTACAGTTATGACAACCACCAAATGTCACTGTCAATAACAATTTGAACTAATTTTGAGGTTTAGATAATTTCGTTTTAAATAATTTTAGTTTGAGATAATTGCATTTATAAAATACCTTGTGAATGCGATCAGTTTTATTCTGGTGAAACATCAAGGCCGTTAAATCTTAGAATAAGTGAACATCAATCTTATATTAAAAATAGAGAATTTGATAGATCTCAAATATGTAAACACGCATGAGATAATGAACATAGGGTTCAATGGAATAATTCAAATGTAGTCCTAAAAGAAACGGATGGTAAAAAAGGAAAAATCAAAGAAGCGGCTCTAATTATGCTAAATGAGGCCAATGGTGTCGCAAATTCCTCGGCAGAATGTAGTAGGATCTGGTTAACAATATTGAAAGAGGAAGTTACTAATAAGAAAATACCAATATTAGTAAGTCAGTATCATATGGAGGATACATCATTTATGTTTTTTAAATAACGAAACATATAAAATCAGAATTTTGGTGTTTATTGAAGGTAAACTAAATGCACGAACAAATACTTACCATGTCGGCATAGTATTATGAGGTTTTTTTCCTGTTTTTTCCCTCATAATTTACTATGGAATCACTAACAGGATAATTTTACTGTCATCATGTCATGTGTTTGTCTTTTTAAAGACGAATTACATGCTATGATTTTTACTGACGGATATTCTCAAGTTAAAGTTGATTTCATGTAATCGAATGAACTATCTTATAAATAAAGTCGTCCCAGGAGCGCAACTCAACAATATTGGCAATATCATTTTAAAGTCGTCTACTTTAAAATGCATAATGTATGTCTAAATTGTCAATATAAATGAGTCAGATAAAATTAAATTATAGAAGAATTTTTCACTATGTAACAAAAAACAAAATTTGTTTAATTTACTGTTTGTATTTTGAGAACGATTTCCGAAGTGGAAATTGAAACGTCAATAAACGTATTTTTATCTTTAATTGTGGCTTATTCCCAGTTAAATAGTAATTAATTTAAATGCCACAAGAAAATAGCTTCAGAACAATATTAAAAACATACTTAGAATGTTTATAACGGATTGAGTATTTCTTATTCAGCATGGAGTTTTATTCTTTTGGTAAAATAGAAATATTTGCATTTTTACTACTACTCAATATTTCGACACCCGCTTTTCTACAATTTTAGACTCATCTGTTATACAAACTATAACCCTTTTGCCTGGATTTTATACTTCCTCTGTCTGATCGCTCTTCTGGACAGATATCCACTTGTAAATGTAGTTTAGACCTATATCTAGTTACTAGTTAAAAGTCATTATTTATTGGATAGCCTTTATTGTATTTATGATTCTGTTCTGTCCTAATACAACCATTTAATTTCTCAAGAATTCTCGCAGCCTTTCTCGTTACAACGATGTGATGATGAGGGAGGTCAAGTAGAGCCTCTATAGCTGCTGTTTGAGTATCACTCAGAGCCCTTGTTATTACGAGGTAAGTAAGTCTTTGCACCTTGTTTAGTTTGAAAATGGCACTTTTTTGCTACATTTTTGGCTACCATATCACTGATTCATATTATATAATTGATATAGCAGTGTTAACAATGCTCCCTGTATATTGAGAAATGCAACCATTATGATCTCTTTCTTTTGCCAAAACGCATTATTTTCTGTACGAAAAAAGAGTCCTGCTATTTATGCATACTGCCAATGATATATCGTACTCTTAAATAATACACCATCCATCCTTTCGAGTAGTTTTTCTTGAGTCTTTAGTACAAATGATATCGAACTTATCGGCCTCAGTCCCTTCAATATGTTAGTTGTTAGCTATGTAAATTATTCATCATCATCACGTAGCGCTACAATCCTAGGTGGGTCTTGACTGACTGTACAACTTTTTTCTACTTTGTTCGGTCTTCCATCAACCTAGGGTCAAATGGAATGTTCATTTTCCGAGCTATGTAAATTAGTTTTACTTAAATATTTTTGTAACACTAAAATCAAACTAACATAAATGAATGTAAATAAATTATAAATAAAATTAAGTTTAGTTCAATTTTAGTTTAATTATTAGATCTTCCTTTCTTCTGTACCTGTATAAATTTTAATACTAGCCGTCTTTAGACTTTTAATACTTATTTATTTTGATCACAATAATATACCTACAGGTATAACTTTGAACGGTTATGCAATGGCCTTAAGCGTGTTGAACGACTTCTGGATTGGAAAAAAGTTATTACCGAAGCCTACTTCCCCAAATTGGATAGCTTAATAGCCAGTAGAACGTGGCCTGCCCGCGTTGCTAATGAGAAACTGTCTGATCTTAAAAGAGAAGCGGATCAGATTGTTCAGGATGTTGCTGATCTTGAAAGATGGAGGGATAGAATTTTTGATGCTATTCACAATGGAAGAGCTATGCGGGTAATTAGCATATTTTACGTAGTTTTAATTTTTTACTAATTATATCTATATTGTAGCGTGATGGTAGCTTTGTGAATTTAACAGAAAACGAAGGTATTGACATTTTGGGAAACATAGTTGAATCTAGTATTCTTTCACCTAATAGAGAATTCTATGGAGATTTACACAATATGGGCCACGTTTTTATAGCTTTTATTCACGATCCTGATAATAGACATCTTGTAAGTATAAAAATTTATCATTTAGTCACGTTTAATACAAATCTGGTATCAAATCGTTTATGGCAAGAAAATTAACACGATGCATAAGGGATTTGAAATTTCACGAAATTAAATAAAAATGTTCGTTTTATCAAATCATTTTGATTGTCTTTTTTATATTCGTGATTAAGGAATAAAAACAATCACAAGGAAAATAAAATTCCTGTAGTTGGCTGTATACCATAAATCATAAAAGTTTTTTTCCTTTATAAAACGTATATAATTAAAAAGAAACTTTCAGGCTACATCGCAGAACATTTTCGGAATAACAATTTCATCTTCAGTGTATTTACCAGGTGTCTATGAGTCAAGCTACTAAATATGTAGGTAAATAACCCTTAAAAGTGTACAAAATTTGTTATTTATTACATCTTTTTTAATAAGTTGGTGTAATCATAATGTTTTTGACAGATATCCTGTATGGAAACGTAAGATTCCCAAGTTTAAGGTTGCTGATTATGAGACGATGTCTGTGTATGGACTCTAGATGGCAACTGAGCCACCTAGATTTGCTATCTATCTAGAGATCAGACAAAGCATCTTCCAAATTGGTAGTCTTGCATTGTCATGCAGGGTATCTGGTAAAAACTTTAACATCACACCAACTTATTAACAAAGATGAAATAAATTTAAAAAATTAACGTAGTATTTTAAGGGTTTTTACCTACACGTTAAGTGGCTTGGTATATATATTTATATATATTACTTGTGTATTCTACTAATGTTTTAATAATTATTAAGGAATCTTTTGGCGTTATGGGTGATACCGCAACAGCTATGCGTGATCCTATTTTCTATAGATGGCATGGCTTTATTGACAATATCTTTCAACAATTTAAATCTACGTTACCAAGATACACTATTGACCAGGTAAAATAAATTGTTATCTATATCAGACATAGATATATCAAATTTGCTGTTTGTAGCTGAATTATTCGGGAGTAACTATTGAAAGTGTTTCAATAGAATCTGAAACTGGAACAAATACGTTGAATACCTTTTGGCAACAGTCAGATGTAGATCTTTCCAGAGGGATGGACTTTCAACCTCGTGGTCCTGTACTTGTGAGATTTACTCATCTTAATCATCAACCATTTAATTACCGTATTATAGTAGACAACAATGGGGCTGTACGCCAAGGAACTTGTAGAATCTTCATGGCTCCTAAATACGATGAAAGTGGTAGACCGTGGTTATTTAGAGATCAAAGAAGTCTTTTTATTGAACTAGATAGATTTAGAGTTGATCGTAAGTATTCGGCTTATAACCGCTTTTATAATTAAAATATTGTTTTATTTCCATTAAACCCCAATTATATTTTTAGTAAGACAGGGCCAAAATACTATTACTCGTGCTTCAACCGAATCTACCGTAACCATTCCATTCGAAAGATCTTTCCGCGACTTAAATGCTAACAGACCTCAAGGTGGCGACGATTTAGCCCAATTCAACTTCTGTGGATGCGGATGGCCACAGCACATGTTAATTCCAAAGGGAAATACAGACGATCCAGGATTCAGATGTGAACTTTTTGTCATGATCTCTAATTACGAGGGTGATAAGGTATGTAAAGGTTTTTTAATAAATTCAAAGTGTTTACAGACCCTATCTGATCATTAACTAATTCAGTGCTGATAGCCGTAAAATAATGATACAGAGACAGTAACGATTTTTAAAGTTCCTTGATAATATACAGTTTCTTGCTCCTCTCTTTTTTTATTACTTACAATTATTTAATGTCTTCAGAACCACTAAAGTTATAGACTATAACATTGGAAAAAATACGTACAAAGGTTGTTCTGTCTCCTTATAGTTTAATTCATTTTATTTTTCGATTTTATTTTATTATTTTAGTTTCATGTCAGTAATTCTTTAAGTTTGTGAAAATTAATTTCCAGAAATCTGTAGAAAGATTAAAATACATTTATTTTTACATATTTCTGGGAACAATTTGTCTATAATCCTTTCCTATTGAAAGTAGATATTTAACATTTACAATAAGTCAAACCCAGCGGTTATTGTTCTATACGTATTTATGTAAACAATATAAACGATTTTGTGTAATTTACGTTTCTTCCCAAAATAAAATTTTATAGTTTTTAGAAACGACCTCCCCTCCACTAGGGATTTCTGTTATGCATTTTTGTAGCTGTATAGCTTTCTTTGTATATTTGCACATGGAATTTACAGGGTTTAGATAAATAATACAATAAATGAGATGAGAAGACTGCATATATCAATATCGGGATTAGTGTACTAGCTTAGAAATCTAATGGAACGTTTTAACATATCCTCTGCATCTATTTTTGGAGCTGACCTCAACAAAGTCAGTACAGACAATTTGCTAGCCAAAGCACGATGATCGAGCAAGGCACAGGAAGCAGAAGAAGAAGAAGAATCTGTGAAATGAGCTTCTTAGATCTGGGTGTTTAAAATGTATTTTTTAAGGTCTGATATTTGTTGTTTACAATTTCTTAGGCTACATGTTCAGTTCTTTAATTTATTCTATATCCTCTTTATTCTTTTCTTTGAAATTTATACTGATATTTTGAGAAGTGAGCATGATACAGCAGAGAAAATTGATAGGAGGTAATTGATTTATAAGTTATGCTTCTAAAATATAATGTGGTATGGTGGGATACGTTGTATAAAACAGTGAATGAATCAATCTCTGCCGTCCGCAGATTGAAGGTGTTTTCTAACCAGGGAAGCTACAAGTTTAGTACCTGCTAAGGATCCCTTGTACAGGGTCACGAATGAAGTCTACACCGGCATCTTTGGCAGAGAAGAAAGTCTTCATTACGGTTTGGAGGGTGGAGATGTCATCGCCTTGATTTTAGGGCTTATATAAAATAAAACCTGGAAATCGTCTGCAAAATCGGAAGTCATGGAGGCTAGACGGTCAATACATAATACTACGCGGCCTAAAAACCAAGGAGATGACTGCTACAATATTTTTTTCAGGATTGTAATTATGGCTGAGGAACTAAAGGAACTGAGGATTGTAATTATGGCTGATTGTCGCGAGTAAGGGCGCCTCTTAAATGAAGCCAGAGTGCGAAGCATCTCCTGCATGGCGAAATTTGATATCGGAATTAATTGTAGAATAGGCACATAAAATGTGCATTGTTTATATGAACCCAATGCAATTTCATAAATGAACATAATGCAATAACTGAGATGAGAAGACTGAATATATCAATTTCAATCAAATTGTTTAACAGATGCTCTGCATCTCCTTGCCAAGATGCCATCAACAAAATTAGTATATCCAATTTAATAGTCAACGCACAATAGTTGAACAGAGAACAGGAAGAAAAAAAAAACAAGAAGAACCTTTGAAATAAGTTTTGTGAAGCAAATAACTGATAAAGTGTGCAGAGCAATTAACTTACGAAATACTTTACAACGGATGTGGTAGCTGTTAAGGTTTATTGTATTATAGTTTTAAATGTTTAAATACTTAAAAGTCTTCTCAAGAAAAAATAATTTTTCTTGAGAAAAATAAAGTTCGCTGTCAGTTGTTGTAGATGTTTTGAGTTGGTGTGTTGATTTGTTTTTAACCTTATTAAACTTTAAGAGTACATATATACGTACAGATGATTAAGAAAACCTGGTACGTTGTCGGCAAAGGTTTTATGAAGATCCAATATGCTTGCGGTGTAAGGAGCTGATTTAAAGAACGTTAAAGTCTGGTTAAAGTTCAGTGTAAAATTGTCTATATTGTCTTCTGCTATAATGATATCTTGAAAGATGGGCATGATATAGTTAACTGCCCTGGTTGTTTACAGCATAAACATTCATTGTATTGTCAAAATTTATGATGAAAGAATCTGGTAATGTTGTATAATTTTCTAATGGAGTGACTTAATTCTGGAAGGAGGCATTTATTTTGAGAAAGTTGATAGGAGGGAATTGATTTGGGCCTAGCTTTATGCTACGCTTCTAAAATAAAATATGGTATGCTGGGACATACATTGTAAAAATAATTCTTTGATTTAGAGTAATTAGTTTGCGGATAGGGAAAATTTAATTGATGACTTTAATTGAACCATATTTTTTTAAAAAGATATCTACCAGTTCTGTTTGTGGGAAATTTATATAATATTTGATTTTTTGTTGTAATTGATGCATAGTGATTGTATTGTGGTAGGTTATTTGGTCTGGGAAAGTTCCGAGGAAGATTAGCGACATGTTTCTTTTTTTTTGTTATCCTTTATTTTAAAGCCAAATTAATAATTTAAACTGTGGGTATCTGTGGTCCTGTCCATCTGACAAACTTGTTTCGCCTATCTCAATTATTAAGCCGACTTAACAATGGTCATCTTTCGTTGACAATAAATGTAAACAAAGTTTATTTACAAATATTTTTGTAAAGTCAACTATCGATTTTAGTTAAACTTATTATCATATCACACTTTTAAAAATTTAATTTATATTAATAACCACAATATGTATCACATACTTGCCAAAGTCGATATCCCTGTAAAATTATAAATTTTCACAGAATTTTCGCTCTCAGGTGGAGAAGTTTTTCCATAATTCAAAAAGTTTATTAAAATAAAATAAATTTAATATTTTTTAAATATTTCACTTTTATGTGCAGATTAATCAAGATACTTCAGGAGTTTGTAATGATGCCGATGTTTTCTGTGGTGTTAAGGACAAACTCTACCCTGATCGCCGTTCCATGGGCTATCCATTCGACAGACAACCTAGGAGAGGCGTTGACAACTTGCAGCAGTTCCTTACACCTAATATGAGAGTTCAAGACGTTGCAATTAAATTTTCTAACAGAACATTCAAACCAAGACAAAACAACTAAAATTTTAAACAAAACACATTTAGCGCCATGTGTCCACCGGTGGACATTTTCAATGTTTAATTTAAGACCTCGTGCCCACCTGTGGATTTTTGTTGCTTGCTTCAAGTCACCGTGGCCATATGTGGGCACAGTTTATATTAGTTTGACGTATGAGACTGATTTTTGGTAGAATAAAAAAGAACTGATGTAATTGTGTGTTTTTACATCGTTTATTACAAAAATCAATTTAATTCTTTCTTTATAACGGTAAAAATAAATAAACAAACTAAGAAAAATATTAAAAAATAAGTAATCTTAACGTATTTTTAATACAACAAAAATAATAAAATTTCTGGAAATAAGATACTCGCAAGATGATTCTGAAAACAATCGAGGCACATTCGCAGGTTACACTTATCGCATTATGTATAATATTCTTTTCGAATTTTTACGAGCATAAACTGGGTTTTGTCGCTGGGATATAGTATTATAGCATGGGCTGCACCTTTTGCTGGTAACCCTCTTTTGTCCTTCGTATTCTTTCAAGAAGTGTTTTATCTTGAAAGTGGAGGGCCTCGATGGTATTGGATTTAAATCATGTTAAATCAGAGTCTTTACGATATTTTCTTTGAATTCCATTATACCCAATTTCTTATTATTAATTGTGTTATACAGATGCAGAGCATTTACTATAGCTGTGGAGTAACAAATTAAAAAATGAGTCGCTTATACTACTTGACGGTTCTTCTCACGTATGGCGCATAAGATGCCATCTGGTTAGAAGTGTCGACAATTTTGTTTTTCTTTGTTGTAATCTACAACCATCGCTGGTTTATAAACTTCTTTTTCTCTGCGATTTACTGTCACCATAGAGTCGTCATGTTTGAAACTGAGCATAAAAAAATCCCCTTTATCTTTCTATTTGCAGACAACTGTTTTATTTTTGTTTTGTTGAATAATAACTTCATGCTTTCGTAATTTAGCTTCTACCACATCTGGGGGATTATATTTTTTGTTTGTCCTTATGGTTCCTACTATATGTGTTTGCCGTTGAATCAGACTACTAGACAATTTTTTCGACAACTTATGTATCGTCCGCTCTTTGTTTGCCCATGTAGACTTTTAACGACAATGTCCAGCAACACAGAGTTGGCCTATTATTGGGAAGTTTAAGAAGTGTCCTTCTTCGGGAGTATAAGATTCTTTGAATTTCTTTTCTAGAAAAAATTTTGAGTCTCTTATCGGGATCTATTGGTTGCTCATTGTTTGATAGATGAAACATCGAAAGTACCATCTCAAATCCATTTCGGCTCATTATTTTTTTAATTCTATTATCATAAATTCTTTTTTGCTCCATAAATCACTAAATTTTGGCCAATGTATAAGGCCCATTAACAAGACGATGCCCAAAAATTTGCGCATCTCTGTACGATCAGTGTCAATCCATTTGTTTCTAGAGTTCCTTTTTCTTTTGGGCCACCTTTATTTGCAGTATTTATTTGTGTAGCAAATCTATTGGTTTCTTCCACAAACAATGAGATAATCTCATCGTCTATGAAGTGTCAAAAGTAGCGTATAGGAGAAGCTTCATAAAGTTTCTGGATTATATATTCATTTACATCGGTGTAGGTATAAAGGAAATTAAATTTCAGTCAACCTCCTGCCACAGCCTCCCACTTGGTCTGGGGTATATTATCGGTAAAAGGAACTACTTTAGCAGCTACGATCTATACCTCAGATACTACTAATTCATTGTCACTTGAATGGGAGCTTACTTTATTATATGAGTAATCTCGATCTGCAATGAAGTGATCCTCGGAGTAGTCTGCTGCATTAACATAAACAAATTTTCCAACTCCCAAATCAAGTCTTCTTCTGTAAGACCCTTCTTGCCATTATTGTTTAAAATCTGCAACAAAAGAAATAATGAAATGCTTGACCACTGGTAGACATTTGGTCCTACAATGTAAAATTACAACCTGGGGCCGCTTGATTACCAGTGGTCACTAAAAAAGTTTCTAGAAAAAGAGCATTTTAAATATTTGGTCTCAGGGAGTAACTAACCAATTACAGCGTGGCGCTAAATGTGTTAAATATATTTTATTTTTATAATCTGTTATAGAAAAAATTCAACATTATAATCATTATAGTGAAATAAAGTAATACATTTACTTACCTATCCTTGTCTTGTTTATTTCTCGACGAGTCCCTTAACCTGATTTTAAATATACTAGTTTCCCACAGAGTAGCATCTCCCATCATCAGGATTATTAAAAGAACCACTCTGAAAGTGATCCAAGTGTACGCTGCGACCAAAAGCCACTACGATGAAGATGTAGAAATATTTTATGATGAAATAAGAACAGCTATAGAAACAAATAAAGCAAATAACTTAATACTATTAGGAGATTTTAATGCTAAATTGAGCAAAAAAGAGGAAGATTATGAACATGTAATTGGTAACTATGGCTACGAGAAAAGAAACGATAGAAGAGAAATGCTTCTCAATTTGATGAATAAACATAACATGTACTCAATAAACTTCTTTTTCAATAAAAAACCAAGCAGAAAATGGACATGGATGAGCCCCGATAAAAAGACAAAGAATGAAATAGAATCTATCTTAACGAAGAATAGAAACCTAGTAGAAGACGTATCAGTAATAAATCAGTTTGACCTAGGAAGCGATTATGGACTAATAAGAACAAAACTAATAATTAACAGAAAACCAGAAAGAAAAAGAATACTGAAAAAAAGATACAAATGGACATCTGAAGAAATCAAAAATAGTGAATTTAATAAAAAGATAACGCATGCATTAAATCAAGTTAGTATGCAGCAGATAAACTCCAATAATATTGATGATTTGAATAACCTTATTACCGAAACAGTGAATAAAAGCCTTCTGCAACTGAAACAACCAACAACAACATATAATGAATTAGACAAAGAAATATTACAATAAATAAAAAGAAGGAAGATCTTTAATAAATTTAACAAAAGGGAGACCGACGAATATAGAGAACTTAATAGGCAGATTAGAAAAGGAATCAGACAACAAAAAAGAAAAGAAAACGAAAAATTAATAACAACAACTATTGAAAAAAATAAGAGTATGAAATGCCTCAGACCGACACTAGGACGACGTCAGATGATATCATTAATGGGAAAAGACGAAAATGAAATCACAACTAGAGAAAACATACTGACACGAATAGAAGAATTTTACACAGAACTTTACAGAACACATCAACAAGATGATGAGATGAGACCAGCATGGAAATTAATAAAAAATGTTGGATCAGAAATAATGCCAAAAGTAACAATTTCAGAGATAACTACAGCATTGGAAAACATGAAGAGAAATAAAGCTGCAGGAGAAGATAGTATTACCACAGATATGATATTAGAAGGAGGTAAGGAACTAATTGCAATTGTAACTAAGCTTATGGACAGTTATTTACATCAGGGCAAAGTCCCTAAGAGCTGGAACAACTCTAAAGTAATCTTATTACACAATAAAGGTGATAGTCGAAAATTGGAAAACTACAGACCTATCAAACTACTGTCACACCTTTTTAAAATACTCACCAAAGTCATAACTACTCGACTAACAAGGAAATTAGACGAATACCAACCATATAAACAGGCAGGTTTTAGAAAAGGCTATTTAACTTCCGATCGCCTGTTAACCACAAAAATAATAATAGAAAAATGTAACGAATACAAGTTTCCAGTTTTCCTAGCATTTGTAGACTACAAAAAAGCTTTCGATAGCATAGAACACACGGCCGTAATAAACGCAATGCAAAATTGTAGAATAGACAGCAGATATTTTACACGAACCCTGTACCATTAAACAGGGGAGTCAAACGTAGAGATACTTTATCACTCAAACTATTTACCTTAGTTTTGGAGGACGTTTTTAAAAACCTAAATTAGAAATTTAAGGGAATAAACATCAATGGCCGCTACCTCAGTAATCTACGATTTGCAGATGACATAATCCTGATAGCTACTGACCTACAAGAAATGTAAACCATGCTTTTAGAACTACATACCGAATCTTCTAAAAGAGGACTGAAAATGAATTTAAACAAAACAAAAGTCATGCACTCCGAAGACACCGTGTCAATAATAAACGATAAAGTTATAGAAAAGTTGAAGAATATATATACATGGGACAAAAAATAATACTAAATAGGGAAATTCAAACTGAAAAAATAAAAAGAAGAAGAAAGTTAGCTTGGGCAGCATTCGGTAAACTGAACTATATACTCAGAAATCAACAAATTCAATTACATCTTAGATCTAAAGTATTTGATGCATGCATTATTCCGATATTAGCTTATGCGGCCCAAACATGGACAATCACAAAAAAGAATATGAATATGCTGAGTCACTCAACACGCGATGGAAAGAGCAATGCTAGGTATATCACTTAAGGACAAGAAAACAAACACATGGATAAGACAGAAAACCAAAGTCACCGATGTGGTGCAAAAATCATTAAAGTTGAAATGGGAATACGCTGGACATGTAGCTAGGAGCGATCTAAAAAAATGGCACAGATCAATTTTAACCTAGAAACTATTTATTTTAACCTAGATTGATTAATATGAGGAAACTCAGTAGATCTGTTATACTAAAAATTACAAAAAAAAAATTATTGACAAAAATTGTAGACAGCTTTAAACTGCACATTTTTAAATTAGTTACAAACTTACAGGGTGTTCTATAAGATTGTGGCAGACCAAACTTATGTTTTTTTAAATAAAACACCCTGTATTTTATTTTAAATTTAAAATCTGCTTCACTTCCACATCACAATAATGTAAAGTTTTATTATGTTATACCGGATATTTAAAAAGTTATAACCAATATTACCTGAAAATCGTATCAAGTTTAACTCCCTGTATCATTAAAAAGGTGAACAGGACCATTGATCTATTGCAACCACAGTTTTTTATTAATTTTTAAAAATTATAAAACATATTCGTTTTCATAATATTCGTTAAATCAAATACAGGGTAAGTCAAAATGCAAGTACATTATTTTCTTGATAATTTTAAATAGAACACCCTGTATTTTAAGTCACTATCGAAAAGTACTAATAAATATCGTATTTTACATTTTATGGAATACTCCCTATACCTAAAGTTATTAATTTTCTAGATAAGTATTAATTTGGTAGATATTTGAACTTTTACCAATAATTATTGGGAGTTGGCCATGATTGATTTGTTAGAAACTGACAGTTTGACATTTTTGTTTTTTAATTCAGTAACGAGATAACGACACAGAAAAGAAAACAATTTGTTTCAAATAAAATTTATAATAAATAACCGACAGAAAATAAAAAAAATAACAACACATATAAAAATAAAAAACAACTGTAATTTAACTAATCATACTTAAGTAAAGTGTTCAAAATGACCTCCCAAAACATCTATGCATACTTGAAAACGGTCATTGAAAGACTTACTTACATTACTAAGCATTTGTAAAGAAATATTTTGAAATGCAATTCGGATTCTATTTTTTATATCCCTTGTTGTTGAAGGTATTATATATACTTCGTGCTTAATGCAACCCCAAAAAAAGAGTCCACTTTATTGAATTCTGGTGACCTTGGGCCACCCCTTAAGATCCATCTTTCACCAAACTGATCATTAAGTTCACCACGTACTAATGCGTTGTGGTACGCAGAAGCACCTCCATGTAGAAACCACATTTGTTCACGTATATTAAGTGGAACCTCTTCTAATAATATCGGTAACTGGTGTACGATAAAATCTAAATAAATCTTACTATTTACGTTATATTTAAACAAATATGGTCCTACTACATGGTTACCTACGATACTTCTCCACACATTTAATGATTATCTTGTTTGACTATGTGTTACTATTTGGTATGGATTACTTGTTGAATAGTAGTGAAAGTTATTTATTAAAAAAGCTATTAACAGAACCGTTTCAGTGGAATGCAGCTTCATCACCAAATATGATATAATCAAAAAAAATCTCTGTTGGTGCTTTTGAATATGATATGAGTGTATCTTGTTTTTAGATAGAATATTTTGAACAGAGTAGTAACTAAGTTCTTGTTTAGTGGAAATACTCCTTATACTTGTGAGTGGGTTTTCTGTAACTGCCATCAACACACTCATTTCGTTTTCCTCTGTCACACTAATTTTTTTTTCGTTCACGTTTTTCAGAATTCACTGAACCAGTGCGGTTAAATCGATCTTTCAATTTTTCAAATGTATCTTGTCTAAGTTGCCGCCTATCTGGAAACCGCCTAGCTGATAATAATGAATTTTTATTGCATTCCCCCAATATCCAGACCATATTTATCTATCATTTCATCAGTAGTAAAATTCATTATTGCTAATTTGGAATTGAATAAATTATTGAATTGCTAAATAATAATTGTTGCTAATTTACGATGTACCCCAATACTGAATTAATAAACAATAATGTCAAACTGTCAGTTTCCGACAAATCAATCATAGTCAACTCACAATAACTATTGGTAGACGGTAAAATTTCAAAATTTATACTTTGATGCAAAAATAACTAGAAAACTATCTAGAAAACTAATAACTTTATGTATAGGGAGTACTTTATAAAATTTGAAGTACAATATTAGTACTTTTCGATAGTGATATAAAATACAGGGTATTCTATTTAAAATTACCAAGAAAATAATGTACTTGCATTTTGACTTACCCTGTATTTGATTAAACGAATATTATGAAAACGAATATGTTTTATAATTTTTAACAATTATCAAAAAACTATGGTTGCAATAGATCAATGGTCCTATACTCCGTTTTAATTATACAGGGAGTTAAACTTGATACGATTTTCAGGTAATAATGGTTATATCTTTTTAAATACCCGGTATAACATAATAAAACTTTACATTGTTGTGATGTGGAAGTGAAGCAGATTTTAAATTTAAAATAAAATATAGGGTGTTTCATTTAAAAAAACATAAGTTTGGTCTGCCACAATCTTATAGAACACCCTGTAAGTTTGTAACTAATTTAAATATGTGGAGTTTAAAGCTGTCTACAATTTTTGTCAATAACTTTTTTTTGTAATTTTTACTAAAACAGATCTACTGAGCTTCCTTACCCTAATCAATCACCCAGAAGAGTTATCAGAAAAATTTTCCAACCAAATTTTCTACCAAGTAACCAAAAACAAAATTTGATTAATTTGTTAATGTTCTGTATTCTGAGGAAGATTTCCTAAGTAGAAATCGAAGCGTCAAAAATAAACTTATTATAAACTTAAATTGTGGCTTATTACCCAAAGTACTTCTGTTTTATATTCAAACTTAAATTAAATACTACTAAAAAAATTAAAACAAATTGTTTTTAAACAAATAAGGTGGTTTATTTGACAATTTATTTATTGAAATAATGCATATTCGTAATGTACGCAAAAAGTGCATACAAGTTCAAAAAGAAACGTTGAAATACATAAAAAATGAACAGAGATACAGTTAACAGCGCCTTCCCCCTCCCTTTAGCTCCCGAGAGTTTCAAAGCCGACCGATTTTACATACATTTTGAAGCTTTGTGGATGATTCCATTAAAGGGCAATAATTTTAAAATTTAGTTTTTTAAAACTATAATGTATATTCTTTTAAATAGCGCTAATTATATTTCTTAATTGTTATAAACAGAGGTGCTATGAATTAAATAAAAACAGAGGCTAACTTTGTAACAAATTATTTTAGGACAAACTTTTTTTTATTTAAATTTGTGAAAAAATTCAAGCTTTTTAAATATGTAAAAATAATATTTTTACAGTCAATGGTTAAAAAGTTATTCTAATTGTTTATAAGCAAAAAATCGACATGTTTTTGCAAAATTATTTTGCAATATTTAAAATTAATTTTCCTAATTTTTTTTTAATGTAAATAATAAAACAAGTCTTCTTCTACCAGTAACAACCCTTACAATTTCTAAAACTGTATAAATTTCTGACTTATATTGTTGCAAAAAATGTTAATTTGGGATAAACAAATAAAATACCTTTTAAACTATTGGACCGATCACTTTAAAATTTTAACCCTATTTTAAGCACTACAAGACACATTATTCCATGAAATATAAATATTATAAATTTATTTTCAAAAAAGTTATTAACATTTATAAAAAACCGAAATTTTTGACTTATTTTGCAACTTTCTAAACAACAAAGAAGGATAGAAACATTTTGAGAACGCCATTGTGAAGGTTTTTATATAACTTATAAGTTTCCTCTCTTCTAAAATTTGTTTAATTTGCTTCACTTTTTGCTGATAGACGAAAAAAGCAAAAATTTTCCGTTTTTTGAACTTAATTTGTTAATAACTAATTAAGTCCAAAAAATCGACTGCAGGAAACATATAGGTTTTTGTTACAGAGGTCCACACTACTCAAAACAACTGTCGTTTGCCTGGCCGGACGAGTGTCATGAAAAAATGCTTATTTCCCTGAGCTAAACCGTATACACCTGGGAATGAACACCCCACCATACGCACACTTGTGGGTTAGGTTAGTTAGTAAAAAAACCCTTAACATCTGTCATATAATACCATTTTTTATTGATGTCAAGTGAATAACTCAATCTTATCAGGCAAACTTAAAGTCATTAGCAAATATAAAAGTTCCGATGGCCTATGCTTAGGCATAGGCCATCAAGGCAGGTCGGAAAAGATCTCAGTCGCGAAAACTGAGGATTGAGGTCATGTGCGACAAGCATGGGCTCGATGGGCATGCCTTTCGGGTGTGCAATTGTCGAGGAGATCAAAATTTATTTTGCCAAATCGGCAGCTGAATAACCGAACACACATATATTTCGGACAGATAGACATCAACTTAGGTTGATTGCTCTCTGCTCGGAGCACACACCTTTCTTAGGGAGCTCAGTCCCATAGTCATGTCAGATTAACATCTATAGAGTCAGTAAAGTAAATAGAGAGAAAAGCCGATATGTGTGCTACCCCTACAGACATGTGGATAACCGCAGTCAAGATAAACAGAGGGTGTTCCATTACCCAGAGCACCCAAAGTAACGCTCAGATCAAAAGCCTTCTCACGTAAGTCACACGCTGAGGAAGGGTGGAGAAAAAGCCTGGAGGCAGATAGGTACCACTTCAATAGCGAAGTGTGACTGGTATCATGTTCGGACATGTGGATGTTACTATAGAATGGTATACACATGTACCTAGAGGCAGGGTTGATCACTGCGTGTGTGTGTGTGTTCTTGTTGTTAAAAGTTCTTAAAAATAAATTGACTTATCAATAAAAGAAGCCAGTCGTTCACTCGTTGACTTCTTAAATTGGCCTAAACTGTATTTATAACTTCTTAAATGGGAAAAATTACCGGAGAACTTTTAAATGTATAATTTAACTTTTACTAATTTCCATTAGTAAAATCTTAAGCCATAATCGTACGATGTCTGCAAACATTTATGTAGCCCATGTATTTCTTAAAAATCACAAAAATAATCAGATATGCAATTTCTAACCATTCTGTATATTTTCCAAGTTAAAAGAATAATAGCGAAAGCCTGAGAGGTAGAAAAGTAGAGAGATAGAAACAAATAAGTGGTGTTTGTGGGCATAACTCATTGCTGCTAAGATGAGAAAGAACAGGTTAAGATGGTAAGGGCAAGTTCAACACCAGATCAACAATTACCAATTACGAATAATCGCTGTTTATCACATTGGTATTTATTTTTTAGTATCAATAATAAGTTTCGGTGATTTTATTTATTGATAATCTTGTTTTGTTACGATTTTTCATGGCGTATGATACCGTCGATTATTAAATCCTATCTTTTATTTTCATACGAACAATTATTTTTGTTTTTAAAAACAACCAAGATAATTGCTGGCTACCTGATATTAACCAAAAAACCACATTTTTGACTTTATATAAAGCAAAATTTTATTTACAAAACCTAATTTTTACAATAAATCTGTTATTTTGAACATACGAATATATTTTTTATATTAAGTCATTACTTTTATTAAAGCACAATGGCGACGACCAAGAACCTTGTAAAATTATTTGACAGACCCAAAGAGTTATGTATTATGCCCAAAGGTGATGACAAAACAATATTTGATGTGCCTGCAGAATATTTGGTAAGCAAACTTATTTAAATTTAAACAAACATGTTTTCTATTATTAACTGAAGAAAAGAATCTATCTAAAAAACCTAAATTGTTCATTGCTGAACTTAGCCCCCTAAGTTTTTTCCACTCCTCCCTTTCGTAAGAGTCATTTTTATCCAGTTTCCAACAATTATCTTTAAGTCGTCAGTCCATTTTACTGGATGGCCTACCTCTTTATCTTGAGTAATTTCTAGATTCATTCATTCAGACATTTCTATTTTTAAGAGTCTTGTTTTCATATTCTGGACATTTTAAGGCCAAGCATTTACCTATTTATATGAAAGTGTAAATTATCTGTTAATAATTTTTTTAATGCATTAGTCAAAATATGTAACCAGCAAGTAAATAGTATGTACGTTACTTTAAAAAAGCGTTATAAGCTATTTTAATTTTTTTACTCTCTCCTATTTACTATCCTTTTGTCTTGTAATGTTTTTAATTCAGTTACTTTTTATTGTGTCTCCATGCAGCACCATGTTTTAAGCTAAGATGTTATTGTCACCTTGCTCAATTATGGTTTGATATTGTCAATGTAAAGTTTGGTTAGACCTATATTTGACCAAATAATATTAAGAAAATTAATTAAAAAGGGGGTTCAATATATTAATTATTAACCATCAATTAATTATTATCTCTGTATAAATGTAAAATTAATAAATAAACACCTAGTCGCACTGGTGCACTGTGATTAAGTTTTTGACTGAATATTGTGCCAATCAGTTTCAGATCTTGAGTTGTAAAGTTTTTCATCAAGTGCCCAGTATTTTAAATCAAACATTTTTTGAAGACTATGCATGTTAGTTTTAAGTCTCTTTTTATTTACGTTTGCGGCGCATCAACCATCATCAGTTTATTAACCCCGCTCGGTATTAATTTTTTTTACATTTCTGGATTTTTACATACACAGATTTCTAACCCATTTGCTGCCAAACTTCTTTTTTTAATTTTATAGCTTCTACAGGTGAATTTTATGTTCTGAACTTATAGAAAAATATTTTAAAAATTCTTATTCTTTTCACAATAGCCCTGTGTCTAAAAAATTTTTTGTTCCAATTCTGGAACATGGCCATAAATAGGTAATAAAAAATCAACAACGTCAATTTAAACTTAAACATTTATTGATAAAAAAATGATAACATTTTGAGGGGACCTCAATTAATTAATTAATGTACATTAATTATAAATTAATTACTGTACATTAATTTTGCAAATACCGCATCCAAAAGTTGTATTTGTTTTACAAATTTTGCATCTGTTTTGTTTTAAAGAAATTGGGCAATGCAGAACCGACATATTTTGTGAAACAGATTTTGGAATTTTTCGAAATAATGTTCCTAATTTTGTCTTACCAGGTTTTGGTTGTCGAGGGTTGAGTAGTAGATATGTTGCTACAATGCTTTTTGTAAACCCTAATAAATCCAATGGACGCATACTTTCAACGAATTCATCAGCGTTAGATTGAATGTTATTGTTATGTTGAATTCTATATAAAATCCATGAGTTAGAGATTGAAGCAGACAAAAGGTGAACAAAAATTTGCCACCACCATTTATTGTTACGCAGTTGTGGTCTATAGTTAGCGATATTTCTATCCATTAAATCAGTACATCCCATATGAGTATTATACTGCTGAATTGCGTAGGGAACGTCTACCATTATATTTTTTTTCTGCTGCAGAATAACGTACCGATTTTGTAGGTTGAACGCCATAACAATTTGAATTCTATTTGAATGATACATTCTGAGACCAAAATTTAAACCCATATCTAATAGGTTTCCCTTGAATACGCTGTTTACAGCTATGGTGGCTGTAGTACGGTACCATGGGTTCATCAACAGATACTGAAATGGTTTCATCAACCGGCACATATTTTATAAATGAACTGTTTAAGTGTTCTATGAGTGGTCTTATTTTAGCAAACTTATCATTTTTTTGTAGCTTAGTGTTATCTGAAAAATGTAAATTTTGCAAAATTTCTCTAAACCTATTTCTCGACATTGCGTTGGCGATTGCTTCGTTTCTGAGATCCAAATCCAAACTCCAGTACCTATCTTTCCGAGGCCTTTGGGAATAACCAGAAATCAGTAGGATTGCAAAGAATACTTTGAGTTTTTCAATCGTAACCTCAAATGATGTGTTTGCATTTTTGTGTCGAGCATACTTTATAGTCTCGTCTTTTATGTATTCAAAGAAATTATCATACCAAAAAAGTGTAAAGAAATCGATTGCACTTTCACATTGAATATTATTTTGATTTGAAAGTAAGATATTTTCTTGATGATTATCTAGGAACAAGTCACCTCTTTTCTAGTTGTTTTGTCTATTGGATTTATTCGCTCTTTTATTAGATTGACCCACATTTATTGGAAGTTTATCATCGCTCGTCGAGAACATATCTTCAGCGTCTTGTGTCTCACATTGTGAAATAAGAGTTGCCTCGGCTGGGGCGTTCAGTATCTTTGATGAAAACTTATCAGAAAAATTATTGAAATTCACATCATCCGATGATTCAGAATCTATTCATAATACCAAACTAAAAAGAAAAACCTCAATTAGCAACATATACCGCCAAGTTCCATTTTTGGAACATGCAAAAGCTAGAGGTTACTCGGTATATTCAATTTGAGGTTAAGCATTTAAACGATACAGATACATTGTATAGGCATACAATATTGCTTAAACTTACCCCGATCGTAATATTTCACGACAGAAAATAGATATAATCGAACTAGAAGTTATACAACTGCACCTTCCTTGAAATTTTGATATGAATCACAAAACAAATGCCACTTATACGAAACCAGTAAGTAAATTCAGTATGGACGTGTTGTTTTGACACTACTGAACAAAAATAGTTTATCAGATTTAAGACCAACAGTGACATCTTGTAACCAGCAGCGAAACTAACAATCGTTCCAAATTTTGGAACATGACAGCGAATGGGTTAATTACATTGTTTTTTTACAAGCGTTGACTTTTACGCATTTATTGTTACACGCACTGATGTTTATACTTTGTTATATATTCCTGTTGATTCAAGAAACCATAGAACTGACGAATAGACACAATTCTTTTCTAGACACTCACATAGCGTTCTCGGTAGGTTATACTTTTTCTTCTCATTTAAATATACCGGGCATTCGATTAAGATGTGTTGTACACTTAAACTGTTAAAACACTTACCGTAATTGGCTAAGCTAAGATAGTCTTCTTAGTTCCAGAAGCATTTCTACTACTTAACATAGTAAGCTATCTGTAGGTGTGGTACAAAAAGCTCCTAAGGCTATTTTTACAGCAGAATTTTGGATTGTTTGCAACTCTATTGAGCCTTATTTAACTTTAAATCTAATGATACTTTTATATACTGCCAATAGAATATCTAGTTAACATAATCTAGGATTACTTCTGTTTGTCTGCCTCTCATTCTGTTTCAGTCGTTGTTGACTGTACATTCCAACTTCCAACACTTCCAATGGGTCTTCTGCTATACGGCTTGTTGTTTTTACAGCTGTTCTCTAATCTATCTGGTCCCATTCGACTTACATGCTCGTTCCAGTTTTTTGTTTCTTGTTTTTATCCACCTGTTAAAATTTTGCATTGTTCGCGTATACTTCTGTTGGTTTGTCTGTCTCTTAACGATATGCCCGCTATTGATCTTAATACTTTCATTTCGATATTGTTGATTTGTTGTTTCGTCTTTCTTGTATCGGTCCTTGTCTCCGCTGCATATGTTAGGATTGGTTTTACTGTTGTCTTGTATACTTTCATTTTGCTTTCCGTGGTCAGATATTTGTTTCTTCATATGGATTCTCGGAGGCAACTACTTATACTTGCCGCTTTTGGAGCTTGCCCTGTGGTCTCTGTTCTTATATCTCTGTCACTAGTGATCTCTACTCCTAGGTAATTGAATTTCATTACTTGTTCTACAATTTTGCTGTCTATTTCTAGTTTGCATCTACTCGGCTCTTGACTGATCACTAGACTTCGGCAAATATGCAAATAAAATTGTAGAAAATATGCGCATAAATATGCACGTGTTTACCCGAAAATATGCAAATATTTTACAAAATATGCATACAAATAAATAAAAAAATCGTAAAATAGTAACAATTTTATTAAAAAAAAAGTGTACATAACTAAAAATATTTCCTACTATTCATTAAGATTTACATTTTTTATTTTAAGTAACTACATCATTTTTAAGTATGAATAAACTTATTTAGAATTATGGTAACAATAAATGACCAAGTGGTGTTCAAAATTTTCTAACAAAAACCTGTTGCTTCTGTCTGAGTACATATATTTATATATGGAAAAACTTCGTTCAACATCAACTGATGTAACGGGAGCATTTTTCAAACTAACCAGAACATTTGGTTCTAAATTAATTGTTTCCGAAATATTTCCAGCTAGAACACTGACTACTTCAGAAAGAATATGGTAACCTTTATTTTTTTCCATAGTAGCTTCAAATTTTTTTAAAATATCTTTTCCAATATTACCTCTAACGTTCCGACAACATGACGCAAATTCTTTTATTAATGCTGTACTTTCGAACAATGACAGTTTTGGTGATTCTAACTGAGTAATTTTTTTTTGAACAAAACTAAAATTTGATTTTATAAAGGAAAGTTCTTGTTGAAGCAAGTTACTCTGAAAAGTTTGTTTAGAATCCAAAAGAGATTGGGAACTTTCATCTGTTAACGTATCAATTATGTTCTTTATATTAACAAAATGATCTGCATAAAAATTAGCTGCTTCTAACCATGTTCCCCATCGCGTTAAAATAGGTTGTGGTGGAAGAGGAATGTTAGGTAGCATTTCTTTATAAAGTTGAATTCTTATAGGAGATTTAAGAAATACTTTTTTGACACTGGATATCATGGTATTTACAAGAGGAAACTTTTTTCGTATTTCCTCTGCAACTCTGTTTAATCCATGCGCTACACAAGTAACATGTATTAAATCT